GCACATTGGTCATATAACGTATGTGGAATGATTGTGTGCTTTGTGTTCTCAGGGTTGAAGGAGATGTACGTTTCTGAAACTCTTTGTGATGTCGCCGTACTGACCTCAGACAAACGCTTCCTGTGTCACAGGTGGGTCAGAACCATGACGTTCTCTCTCTGGACGTCCACAGAATAAATGTTTTCCAACCCTCGCCCTTGTTACCCACCAAGGGAAACCCCAATGAATGAAACCCAACACCAGACAAAGCTTTCTGTATAGTTTTAGGACAGAGCGGGGGAGGTTTAGAGCCCCCGTCAGACCTTTATTGCCGTCTCCCATTGCAGAGATTTCCTCAAGTGATGGAAAATTTCTCCAACAGGGACACAGATGAAAATCACAGCAAAGTGGGGGAAGGGTTAGAACTTCTGACAATGTTTTTGGTGCTGTCTGTGCCTGGCGATGGCCGGCTCCTATGGGTGTCACAGGGACAGGAAGTGAGGAAATCTGTGCACCTGAAGATGGACCCCCCCCCCTTCCTCTGCAGTGAAGGAGGTGTCACAGGGACAGGAAGTGAGGAAATCTGTGCACCTGAAGATGGACCCCCCCCCCTTCCTCTGCAGTGAAGGAGGTGTCACAGGGACAGGAAGTGAGGAAATCTGTGCACCTGAAGATGGACCCCCCCCCCTTCCTCTGCAGTGAAGGAGGTGTCACAGGGACAGGAAGTGAGGAAATGTGTGCACCTGAAGGACTCCCCTCCTCTGCAGTGAAGAAGATGGAAGACTTGGGAGGTGTCACATGGACAAGAAGTGAGGAAATAATGTGTGCACCTGAAGGACTCCCCTCCTCTGCAGTGAAGAAGATGGAAGACTTGGGAGGTGTCACATGGACAAGAAGTGAGGAAATAATGTGTGCACCTGAAGAAGGACCCCTCCTCGTCAGTGAAGATGGAAGACTTGGGAGGTGTCACAGAGACAGGAAGTGAGGAAATGTGTGCACCTGAAGGACCCCCCTCCTCTGCAGTGAAGAAGATGGAAGACTTGGGAGGTGTCACAGGGACAGGAAGTGGGGAAATAATGTGTGCACCTGAAGAAGGACCCCCCTCCTCTGCAGTGAAGAAGATGGAAGACTTGGGAGGTGTCACAGGGACAGGAAGTGGGGAAATAATGTGTGCACCTGAAGAAGGACCCCCCTCCTCTGCAGTGAAGAAGATGGAAGACTTGGGAGGTGTCACAGGGACAGGAAGTGGGGAAATAATGTGTGCACCTGAAGAAGGACCCCCCTCCTCTGCAGTGAAGAAGATGGAAGACTTGGGAGGTGTCACAGGGAGAAGTGAGGAAATATGTGCAACTGAAGGGCCCCCCTTCTGCAGTGACGATGGAAGACTTAGGAGTTGTCACAGGGATAGGAAATAATGTGTGCACCTGAAGAAGGACCCCCCTCCTCTGCAATTAGGAAGATGAAAGACTTGGGAGGTGTCACAGGAAAAGAAATAATGTGTGCACCTGAAGAAGGACCCTCCTCTGTAGTGAAGATGGAAGACTTGGGGGGTGTCACAGGGACAGGAAGGGAGGAAATATGTGCACCTGAAGAAGGACCCCCCTCCTCTGCAGTTAGGAAGAGGGAAGACTTAGGAGGTGGCGCATCCCGTGACTGCAGATTTCGGTGAGTATTTCGGGCATTAAATTTGAGCTTTTCCCTAAAAGTCAATAAATGTCGGGCCGCAGGAGAGCTGAGCCGCTGCTTTGTGTGAGAGGGCCGCGCTCAGACTCTCCTTTGTGCCCGCTGAGGACTATATATAAATGCGTTTTTGTGCCATAGGGATATGGGAGCCACCTGCGTCCCCTATCTTAGACAAAGTGCGGCAGTTTTTCACACGCCGTATGCCGGCTAGCGTATCCAGGAGACCCGATCCGCCGGCTCGGCTGGTGACACCATAGATGAGGATGTTACAAAGTATCAGAGCGATAGATCCTCCATTATTATTCTTTCCTCCTGTGTGACGCAGCAAATGTCCGTCTCTTGCTTCCAGGGTGGTCCTGGCCTCGGTCAGTCCTTACTTCAAAGCTCTTTTCACTTGCCCCATGAAAGAGTCCACGCGCGGGGAGGTTTGCCTGTCGGACGTGCCCTCCTCCACCATGCAGGCCGTCCTGCACTACATCTACACGGGGGAGGCCCGCCTCACCTTGGACAACGTGGAGGAGCTGTTTATCGTGTCCGGCCGCCTGCAGGTCGCAGCCGTGCAAGATCTGTGCAGCAGGTAAAGACTCGCTGATGGGCCACCTCTTTTTAAAGCGGGGGTAGCAAACCTCCGGCCCTCCAGCTGTGGGTGGAACTACAAATCCCATGAGGCATTGCAAGATTCTCACAGCCACAGGCACGACTCCCCGCGAAGAGAGATGCATCATGGGATTTGTAGTTTCACCACAGCTGGAGGGCCGGAGTTATAGTTCTTTTTAGCTTTTTTTGTTTAGTTTTGATACTTTGTGATACAGAAGGAAATTAGAACTTCACACAGTTATAGCCCAGAGGTCCGATTCTTCTAAAATTGGACCTGGCATCTAAACTTCAACGGCCTGTGGTCCTGAAAAGTTTACTATAAATAACCTTCTCGCTGCGTGTTCATATTTGACTTCCTTTCCATGTAGAGGTTGTCACTATATATATATATATATATAACGGCGGCTGAATAAGACAGGGCTTGGCTTCCTCTGTGCATTGCGGTTCCTCTTGTCTCAATCTCCTACTGATATGGGTGTAGCATGAGGTTATTTTCCTTGGTGACAGGTGCACTTTAAAGAGCATAACCTCTGTACACCGCCCCCCCACCCCAGTATGGAGAATGACCACTTGAGGACCCTATCGATGGAAGAAAGGAGGATGAATGTGAGTCCCATAACGGGATTCTTATCGGGGCTGCAGAATAGGAATGGACAAGTTGTGTGTGGGCACCTGACCATCACACCTCTGAGCTTGATTTAAAATTAAAAAAATTTAAAGTGTGTGGTGGGGGAGGGGCAAAAATGCTCTTTCGCCTGTGTAGGCAAGAATCCTTGCACCGGCCCTGCCCACCATGCTTCTTCCTCCTGGGAGTCATGCCTGTGGCTGTCAGTCTTGCAGTGCCTCATGGGAGTAATAGTTCTGCAACCGCTGGACTGCCGAGGTTGTCTACCCCTGCTCTATCGTCTCACACTAACCCTAAAGTTGACGGTAATCTCATGTTCTACTTTCCTTTTTTTGCCTAGTTACCTTGCAAAGAGGATCGACAATGGAAACTGCCTTTGGATCTACAGATTGGCTCACAGTCACCATCACCGAATTCTCCTGGAAGCAACCGTGAACTATATCGGTCGCAATCTAAGCTTCTTCTCCCGAAAAGAGGACTTCCTTCACTTGGAGTTGGAGGAACTGGCCACCATCCTGTCTTCAGACAACCTGATGGTTTCCTCGGAACTCGACGTCTATAACGTTGCCCGTGGCTGGTGGGAGTTTCACACCAAGAAGGACAATCCTCTCCCCACGGAACTACTGAAGGCCATCAGAATACCACTCCTGAATCCAGATGAACTGGAGAAGGTCGGCGGGGACGTACCCAGCGATGACTCCGCTTTTCGGTGCCCGGCAAGAATCCACTTGCGCCAAGGGATGTTCGAGGAGAGGATAATCTGCATGGACGTCATGGCATTGGAAGAAACCGACCCGGAAGAGGAGGATTACTACATGAACGCCTACGATCCAACCACAGACTCTTGGGAGAAGCTTCCGTTTGTCGGCTGTTTGGACAATGCCGGAATTGTATCCGTCGGGTGTTGCTTATACGTGTCAGGTGGCTTCGGGGAAGAACATTGCGCTTCCAATGCGCTGCGCCTGTATGATTCTGTGTTGAACGAATGGAAAGAGCTGGCGTCCATGGCTCACCCGAGAGCTTATCACGGCTTCCTGGCCTGCGGCAACGCGCTTTATGCTTTTGGCGGATGCAACAAGCACGAGCTCACGGACTCCGTGGAATGCTTCAGCGTGTCGGACAACAGTTGGCGCAGCGTATCCAGCATGCCCTTGGCATTGCATAGCTTCACTAGTGCGGTGCTGAAAGGGAAGCTGTTTGTTATAGGCGGAATGACTAAGACGGGTGTACAGCTTTTACACTACCCGGGGTTCCATATCTACGACCCGCTGACGGACGCTTGGAGCAAGTTTCCGTTACCGGTGGTCTTTTCAGGGGCCGGAGCGGTGACGATGGATGACCAGATCTACATCATTGCAAGTTATGAAACCAGACGTGGCGATGGATGCGCCTATCCAGCACACGACGCCTATCCACCGTACGATGACTACAAGGCATATCTGCTTTACCACGAGCAGCCGAATACCACGTCGAAGAGCTTCTGCATGGATCACCTAGGGCGAATCTGTCACGGTACCATTCCACCCGTCCTAAAAAGTGTTTCTGGTTCTGCGGTTGTACGCTGGAAGCACAGGATTTATATCGTGGGGGGGAGCGACGACGACGGTATGAGTCACTATAAGATGTTCCACTGGAGCCCCGGTGAACCTAGGTGGACTTTATGCAAGAAAGAGCTGACTTTTCTGTTTGCCAGCCTTGAAAGCGTCTCCCTGCAGGTTCCTCTGAAACACCTCTCCTCCATCATTCCCGGCAGGAGATCAAACTACAATTTTGGTGGCTATAGTGATGAAGAGAATGAGTCGCAGGAGGAACCATACTGGGGAAACTGGTAGCCAGGGGCTCTGAGGTAGAGGAAAGAAACTTGTGTCCACCACAGACGGAACCCGCCTGCATAATGAAACGGGACCCCGAAGGTGTTTAAAGTGGATCTTCTGAGCCTTCCACCCGGAACAAGCACGCAGCAGATGGTCAATGAAATGATCTGCAGGATTCTTCCGGCTCTGAGAAGGTTCCCTTTCCAGGAACATGGACCCATTTAATGTTTGAAGGTGCCACACTGAAATTATTTGGTTACAAATATGGATTTTATCTGCATTCAATGTGTATCAATAAAAGGATATTGAACATACTTTGTGCCCGTGTGAATGTCTTCAACCTGATACAGCAAATATCTTTTAGAAAAGTTTCCCTTGACGCCGGTCATTACCACAGTGTATGCGGAAAGCAAAACTGCCCCCTTCCCATTTTGCATAGTGCGGAAGGATTGGACTCTGCCAAGCTTTGATTAGTGTCCTCGCTGGAGACATTCAGCCCCATGTATCCTGATGAACCGGTATCGGTTTTTCGGTATCGAGATATTTATATTTGGGTACTTGCCGATACCGGTACTTCGGTAGCATAGAGCAATCGGGAAGCCAGGCGGCGTGTCATTAGCCACCGCCCGGCTTCTTGATTGACCGGGAAGCCGACTCCATTCTGTTTGGGGAAGTCGGCTTCCCAGCCAATAGGCATTGAGGCCGGCCAAACAGATCTGACAATATGGCGACACGACCCCCCCCCACCACCCTGCAGGCACCTCATTCCCCTCGCATAGATCCTCAGCAGCAGCCATAACCATACCAGTCCCTCGGCCAGCTGGGCAGACACCGCTCTCCAAGCTCTGCCCACGTCTCCTGTGCGTACAGCGCCCACGTGATCGGCCCTTATCCTGCTACTGCGCAAACTGCCCAGCTCTCACATTCAGAAATCCTGTGCATGCGCAGTAGCAGGCTGAGGGCCAATCACGTGGGCGCTGTGCGCACAGGAGACGTGGGCAGAGCTTGGAGAGCGGTGTTTGCTGCTGAGGATCTATGTGAGGGGAATGAGGTGCCGGCAGGGTGGGGGGTCGTGTCACCATATTGTCAGATTTGTTTGCTCGACTCAAACACTGGCTGGGAAGCCGGCTTCCCACCCAATCAGCATGGAGCCGGCCAAACAGCATGGAGCCAGCTTCCCGGCTCCATGTTCCTTCTTGGCACTGCCGGTCAGAGGAAATCTCCCTCTGACCGGAAGTTCCAGAATCTGAGCATTTGGGCGAGTACTCACCCAAACACTCGGTATCGGCACCAATACTAGTATCGGTGCATCCCTAATCCTGATGAATGTTGTCTCCAAAACAGAAGGGAAAGGGAAAGTCAAAATTTGATTCATGATTCAGTGAGATTCCCTCATTTTCTGTCTTCAGGGCAGGAAGTGAAGAGGTTTTGCCAATGCGACACAAACCGCTAAAGGTAAAATGTGGGAGTGTTGGGAGGGAACACAATGAACACGTTCACACCTAGTCCCTATGCAAGCAAACCTTAGGAAGCTCTCTCAGGAGTGGTGGCCAAAGGAGAATCCCTCCCTCCATGCTGCTTAAAACAGAAGTTGAATATCTGTTCCTATCGGTTTTCGGAGAAGAATGGCTCCATCTATCCAATGAGGATGGTTTCTTAGTATTCTGTGGAGTAACAGGTGGTACTGGATGGGTTTCCTTTTCCTCCTGCATTGATTCTGGCCTGGTGCACCGGGCTTGTCCCCAGTTGTAGGCAGGGATCACTCCGGTGCTAATGCCTTCTGGTAGGAATGGGGCTGCTCTCCTCTGGCCTAATTGGCTGGGAGCACAGAGGGTGCTGGAAATCCACTTGGGAGTGGGACCCCGCCGTGACTCACCATCACTAGGTCATGGCACTCGAAAGCTTTTATCTGCACTACACTTCTTGCGCAGGCCTTCTGGTTAGCCCGGAGCAATTTTTGTATCTTGCCGAAAGGCCTGCCAGGGTTGTGCAGCGACACTTGTTTATTTGACACACTATTTTTAGCACATTTTGACCCCACAGATGACAGAGGCCCAACCTGATGTTGGAACCTCCCCCTTGGGGGTCTCTATGTGTTTCTCTACCTCCCTCCAGCTAGGGGCCTCTCCCTAGGAGAGCCCCTATCTAGTACATGGAGGACCTGCTTTGGCCCGTAAGGATCGGCGTCTGCCTTGCTTCGGCTAGGTGGACTTGGGCTGACCCTACCCCGTTCAGGAGCCTTCACTTATTTTTTTTTTTTTATTGTGTTGTGATTTTGCAATTCCCTTTCTTTGTTCACGG